TTAGGGTGCTGGTGGGCAGAGTTTGTATACCAGTCGGGAAGAAGACCGGGCGTTCGCACCTCGATTAGCTGGCTCGTGGAGTCCTTCTGACGCTATGAATTTACGAGATCCACACACGAATCCACTCCACGAACATCTCTCTATATTATGAAAAATCGGTGCTAGAATGATTTTCCTTGTGATGCTACTATTGAGATTACTACCACTTTACCATTGGAGAGATTCGCCGTCGCCGTCGCTGCTGCTACCGCTCAACAAGAGGCTCCCCATGTGAGGAAACACTCAACTGGCATGTGTATTTATCTATCCATGTACGTGTCTTTAGTGTGCCATTGATATCTGTATGGCTGTCTCTCCGTCGAATAAAGGCAAGCAAAAGATCAGAAAGAAACAATAATAGAAGAACTGCGCGAATATGAGCGCCGAGAACGAGAGGCACCGTCGGGGGCTGTATTCCGCTATGCGAAATGCGGATTGAACCTCCGCCCCCAAAAAGACTGCACAGGCATTGAGATACAGTCGCGATAAGCAACCTGTCCTGCACTAGTTGCTCGAAGGATCTACTAAATAACATAGGAAAACGAATTCGGAAAAGGAAGGGGCATAAATTGTATAGCATTAACGGCGAAGGGAAGGCGAGACGGAGGAAAGCTAGTGGACGAAACAACGGAAGGTTAGCGAACTCTGAAAGCTTCCTTATGTTTATTCATTCCCGGTCATAGCTCTGTGGCATCGCGGCTAGTGCTGTTAAGCTGCAGGAAAGCTTGTTTGAGAAAAGTGAAAGTTTTTGGCTGATTGGCGAGCCAGCGGACACTGGCTTTGTCCGGGGGGCCAGCATGGGATAGCTTGTGACCTTTCGAGGGGTAGCTTCCATAAGTTATGTCGCTATTGAAACTCCTGCCATTTCTTGTCTCAATCGCATTTGGCCGGTGCGACGGAAAAGCTTATGAGAACAAGAAAGCAAAGCCCGATATACAGTGGGAAATAAAATGTAGACAGTACGACAGAAAAGCAGGATGTCCTGTGGATCTCAGAAACCTGACGGCTTCCTGAGGTCCTTAACCTTAGGCCACTCTCAGATTCTTCGGTTCTGCCAGGAAGCTAAGTGGATACTGCTTATGCTGGCTTTGAACTGCTAGAGCCGAATCTGTGATTGAACTTGGAGAGGAAGTTTCTGAGTTCCGAGGGGGAGTACGCTCGCACAGCTAGATTAAGTATGATAACCTGCTACTACAGGAAATTCAGCTAGTGCAGTATATGTCTCATTATCGCTTGTGTCAATAAACAGTGCACAACCGCTGCGTTGTACCCTTTGCATCTAGCAGTCAATAGTGTCAGCCGTTAGTACTTCGAGAATAACCTCGGAGACCCGTATCCTCATCTTCACACTGTGAAGGCATATATGTGCACCTTGCATAAAATAAATGCAGCCTGACCGTTATACTCGCAGTTTATAAATAGTATCTTTACAGCGGATCCTGGCTGTAAAGAGACTTGTTCGGAATACTATGAACCTTCAACAAACTGCCTGCATAAAAGAATATAATAGCAAAAATTAAAATTGATTTAAATATGACTAGTAATGATTACATATAAATTGTAATCACCCATTAGTCAAGTATAAGTGACAATTATAAAACAATTAACCTATCCTGTTTTAACGGGGATCATTTAATATATAGTATTTATTTATGGCCTCGTTTGTGTCATTCTTCTGTCACCAATTAGCGGTCAAGAGTACTCATTTACAACATCTCACTGAAACCGTATATATGCTGTCTTTGATAGGCCACTATTTTCCCCCTTTAATCCTGCCTGCACCGATACCACGCACGTTCTATGTTATCTATTTATCAGGTAACTCGTCGAGCGGAAACAGACAAATGCGCGATACCCTTCAGTAGCGCGTTGGTGAACGTATCTCTAATCAAATGTTCGTTGTTAACGAAGAGATAAAGGATTACTAACTAATGCCCCACGACGTTAGTGTTATTTGGGAGATGAGGTCCCAGGGTGAAAATCTAGAACATGGAGATGGACGGACGCGTTACTACGAATCAACCTGACACCGGCGACCAAAGACGTCAACCGAGTGCCAGCCAGCTCTGACTCAGATAGACAATACGTGTTACGCTCCCGCAGTAGCTCCATATGTAGCGCGTTCTTAGATCCTACGAGTGATCATGGCTTCGTGTGTGCACCGTAATGCTGTCCCGGCGGCTACCTGAAAATCCTGCTGGACTTGCGCGGCGTCGACCAACAACAGACGGGGTGAAAGCGATGCAATGCTCTTTGGGTCCTGGGCTCGCGGACCTCTCATGAAGCGCTGCGTTTACTTCGCAGCTAAAACCCGCTGATGCGATACCACCGTTGTGTTTTTCTGCGGTTGACTGCTGCTCCACTATTGCTTTTTCTGCTGTAGTCGAATAGCGGAATCTCACAGAAACGGTTCACCCCATTTTCGGTCAACCACCCGGCACCAGAGAGGCTAGCGCCAGTAACACTGAAAGCAGAGGCCGGCGGCTGCTACTTTTGCTGGTGGTTGATCCGCGATTCGTTGTGGTTTCGCTCGATGAACTAACGGCGGCTTCTCGCGACGCGGAGCAGTCGGCAAAGCTTGTAGTCCTTCGACAGTTCATGGCGGTTCGTTCCCAGAAACAGCAGTAGCAGTAAATGAGATAGACAGTGTCCAACTACTACTACTACATACTAGTTGGCTCGCCTCCGCCGTGACGTATCGACCCCGCTAAAATAGGCTCAAATAGCAACAACCACAACAGCACAGTCTATAGTTGTATCTAGATAGTTCTGTGTGTATGAGTCTGTGTGAGAGAGAGAAAAAAGAGGATGAGGAGAAACGGCGTACCTGCGTTTACGTCCGTGTGGGGTAGATGTCATCAACCCTTTTCTGCGCTAGTCAGCGATTCGAATTTTAGCTGGCGAAGGTCTAAATCAGCTGATGCCCAGCTTACCCAGTTCTTACTGTCGGTGCTGTTCGGCTGCTGACGGCATGTTGGCTGGTGCTCGCTCTGACCAATAGAACGGCCTACTACACGCCCTAATCTACTAGGTACAAGCGCGAGTACTTTGCAACTACCCAACCACCACACGCAAGCAGTCTGAGCTCCGGTCCACAAAGCATTTACTGCCAGTAAGAGGTGGCCCCAATCCCTAGTGGAAAGGCAGGGTTACGGCTGATTTTATATATATATATATATATATATATATATATATATATATAGGTATGCGCGTATAAACGAGGCAGTTGACGGATCTGTACGGGTGGATTTTTAGCACACACACAACAACAAAGGCATAAAACATATGCTCGCGTGTAGTCGCCTAAATGAGATATTTATACAACAACACAAACCCAAGGCGACGGGGGTAACAAACTTGCCAAGGAAACAGATTAGGCACGTACCCACGATTACGTGCTTACCAGAAAAAGCACACACGTAACAAATGCGGACCTGTAGTATAGTCTTCGTGACTACGCAGAACTGCTTGACTGCTTCATGCTATATATATATTTCTGTAAATACAAAGACGTTACACATACATAT